GGCCCAGAGAAGAGAAGTGATTGGTAGAAAGTGGCACAGTATGGTAGTCAATCAACACATTTTCACTAGGTGCCTCCTGAGTGCCAGGTACATTCTAGGTGCCAACAGTTAAGCTGGGACAAGACCCAAGTAGTCCTGCCCTGGAGGGGCTGACAGCCCAGAGGGGTGTGAACCGTATATTATGAACTACTGAAGTGGGCACAAGTATGCAAAGGAAACTGAGGGAGCATTTAGGAAGGGACCCGCCTGGTCTGAAGGGCAGAGAAGACCAACCTGGGGATGGGGCACATGTAAACTGAGCCCTAAAGGACATATAAGCAGCTGGTCAGAAGAAGTGGAAGAGCCTTGGAGCAGTTGGAACAGCGCAGGTGAAGGCTGGGGAAGCCAGTTAGGTGGCCAGAATCTCAGGCAAGGCCAGCAGCTCTGACTCAACACCCTGGAGCAGAATGACAGTGGGTGAGAGTGCAGCCCCTCCAGCCTCCTGGGGACTTGACACTAATCTCAGAGGCTGACTGGCCAAGGAAGTGTTCTCAGGCATTGGGACTCAATAATCTGTATTAGAAGACAATCCGATGCTAAATGCAACATGGTGTTGCTGATTGGATCCTGGAACATAAGACAGACATTAGTGGAGGAACAAGACATCTGTAGTTGAATTAGTAGTATTATACCAAAGCTTATTCCTTAGTTTTGACAAATGTACCATGGTTATATAAAATGTTCATATTAGAGGAAGCTGGATGAAGGACATATGAGAGCTCCATACCATTTTTGCAACTCTTCTGTAAATCCAAAACTATCTTTTTAAAAAGCCTTAAAAATACATATATCCCTCTGGCACCATGGCAGAGAGCAGCAAAACTGGATGTAGGGAGAGAGGTTATAGTACTAATAATGACTAACACTACAACAGTCCTTCTTGTTCACTAGGCATTGTTCCCAGCACTTAATGTGTTTAACTCATTTAATCCTCCCAACTCCATGAGGTAAGTACGTTATTTCCCTTCATTTTACACATGAGGAAGCTGAGAACAGACAGGTTAAGTCAGTGGCCCAAGGACACACAGCCACTGAGTGGCAGAGCTGGGAGTTTAAGGATTCAAATCCAGGCAGCCTAGCTGCAGAGCCCCATCTGCTTGACCATTACCTTGTACCCCATCCCTCAGGGTGCCCCGGCTGTACCGCCGAGGATACTGCAAGGAGCAGGGAGAAACCATGAGCATGACGACTAGGGTGATAACAGGAGAAATGGAGCCACGTCACCAGACATAAGACATATATTGGAGGCACACTCAGCTTCTGCTTTTGAATTGGAATATGGTAGTTGAAGAGGGGCTTCCCACATGGCGCTAGTGGTAAAGAACCTGCCTGCCAGTGTAGGAGATGTAAGAGACACGGGTTCGATCCCTGGGTTGGGAAGATCCCCTGGAGAAGGGCATGGCAACCCACTCCAGTATTCTTGCCTGGAGAATCCCATGGACTGAGGAGCCTGGTGAGTTGGACACAGAGTAAAGTGACTTAGCACACACACATGCCGGCACTCACGGTTAGGGAAAACGGAAGAAGCAAGAATGGCTCCTGGGCTTCCTTCCAGTTTAACAGTAAGGACCAGAAACTTGGTCCTGTGTTTCTTTCCACCACTGAGGGATACACTCCAGACCTTTCACAGTCTTGTGTGTAGGGACAACCTACCTGTCGCTTTCTCTTTTTATCTTCAAAATACAAAGCAAACTGGACCACCTGCTGCTCCCAAACAGGCCCTGACCTCTCCCACCTCCATGTGCTTGTACAAGCTGTTTCCTCCACCAAAATTCTCTCCTCCATCTCCCTGGGTCCAAATCTGATCCACCCTTCAGGGCCACCTCTTCCCTACTCTCCACAATGAGAAGCATTCAGACTCTCCTCTGGATGCCGACATTTTTGTCCTTTGGTTCTCTTTGGCAGCATGCAACCTCCATCCTATAATATAGTTATTTGGGTAGGGTCTTGGCTCTTGCTCACTTTGGTATCCTCACTTCACAGTATAGTAGGTGCTCAAAAAGATATCTGTTCAGTGAATCATCTATCTGAGTAAACAAGTTCTATCTTATTTCCCTTCACCCCTTCCTGACTCCATTTTCTATCTACTGCAACCTACCACACACACACACACACACACACACACACACACACACACATCCTGCTGTTGGTGCTTTGACTATTTCATATTGGTGCTTTGAATGTTTCAGGGGCTGGTTTAATCCACCTCCATCTTCTTCACCCAACCCATCCCTAGGCAGCCATGCCAACCCCCCCACACACACTCTCTGGAAGCCCATTTAAGTGCAGGAAATAAAAAGGAGCCTCACCCAAGAATGGAGAGACGGAAGAATACAAGCAGAAAACTAGTGGGCATTGATCCATCTGGAATTGCCCCTTTAACCTATGGGGTCCAGCTCCTATAACGTGGTCCTGTCCTGGAGGAGCTGACAGTCCAATGATGAGTGAATCAAGTATTCCGAGGCAGAGCCTGAAACCATTGCAACGAACTCAATCCAGCCCTGTTCCTCAAAGTACTTAGGGCCAGACTGGACTACAACAAGCCAAGTTGATATGACATTCCTCAGCTAAAACCCTCCTGGTGGCCACTGAGGGCTCACTGCAGGTCTCTCTTTTCCCCAAGTCTTGGTCTCAGGCTACAGCTTAATGCCACTCTCCTCCATCACATGGCTCTGTCTGATAGATGACTCACTCAGTCCCTGTGTCCCTTCCACAGAGAAGCCTTCCCTGATCCCCACCCCAGGCTGAATAGGGCACTTTCTCTGAGACCCATTAAATCATGTGTGCACATCTCTGGGACACACCACACACATTAAAAGCTTGTTTATAACATCTGTTTCTGCCTGTCTTCCCCCTCTGTCCCCTAACTAGATTGAGTGCTCTTAGGGCAATGACCAAGTCTGTACCCCCAAGCCTAATGTGATGTTTGGTACAAGAAAGCCCAATTACATTCATTCAATGTAAAAGATGTGTTGAGGAGTGTGAATGCTCATAGGAGTGCTTTAGTCTACGGACCTCAGCAAGAAACCCAGAGGCACTCCAGGGCCAGATTCCAAATAGCGGGAAAGTGGTGCCCTTATTGCCCATCCTCCTGCTCCTCCTATTCCCAGGAACTAGAATTTACATTTTATCAGGATTGAGCCACATCCCCTCTGCTTCTGCCTGCTGGGCAAAGGGCAGCAATGGGCAAAGGGTGCATTGTCTGGTCAGGCATCTTGGGAGAAACTGCTTCTCCTTAGTGGGACACTGTCTCCTCCGGGGGTGAGGAAGGGGTCCAGAGGGAAGGAGCAGAGGGCAGGCCTGGGGCTGCCAAGGACCGGAGGGCTCAGCTGCCTTGGCTGGAAGCCAACCGCACCCGGATGTGGTGGGTGGCCAACGGGATCTGGTGGAGAGTCCCTGCTTCGCGTGGACACGAACTGGTCCCTTTCTCGGGTACCCTGCAAATCGTTCAAAACAGCGGTTCCCCCCAAGGGGGCACAGTTCTACTTCTTGCTATATTTAGGGAGGGGAGAGGGCCTCAGTGTTTGGAAAAGGAGCTCCTGAAGGGAGAGCAGGTTAGAAAAGATCAGAATCCTCAAGGGCCCCATCTCACCCGCGAATGCCCACCACCGATTCCGGAAGGTCCTCGCATAGCTGCCTCCCCGTTGAGTGTTCACATGATGCAGAGGCGTGAGAGCTCTGGTTACTGAGTTCGAGTCCGAGGCCTGCCACTTTTCTGCTCGTGCCCCTGGGGAAATCGCCCCCCGTCCCCCACCACCACCCCGGGTCTTTGTTTCCTCATCTGTAAAATGGGACTTGGGCTGGAGGAGAGGGCCTGGAGAAGCCCTATTCGGCTCGGGCACTGCGGGATCCCGGATTCTCCATACTGCACGCCCGCTCCTTCACAGCCTCCCCCCCACCCGACTCCGCCCATCCACCCCGTCTTAACTCCACCCCCACCGAGCGGCTTCTCCCCCGACGCCGGCCGCTAGGGGTCACTGCCTCCCTTTGTCAGCGACGGAGGAGGGCGGCTAGCCCTCCGGCCCTCTCCCCGGCGGAAAGGCGACCGAGGGGCATCTTCCGAGCCAGTGGGTCTGAGCGCGACCCCCACGGCCCTCGCCGGGGATCCCGCCTCTGCCCGGGGCGGGAGGGTGTACGGGGCGGGGCGGGGCGGAGGCCGGGGCCGGGCGAGGGCCGCGCGTGGGCAGCCAGGAGGGGGTTAACGCTAACCCCTCCCCCTCGGGTTGACATCACGGGGAGAGCGGCTGAGAGGCTGGAGCTCGGCGAGTGAGAGAAAGAGAGGGAGAGGAGCGAGCGCGGCTCGACTCGGCGCCCGGGCAGCTCCACATTGTTGCGGATCGCCGGGACCCGGCAGAGCGAGCGGCCGCGGCGCGGCGGGGGACGCGGCGCACCCCCCCACCCCCGATCGCTCGCCTGGCGCGGAGCCGCGCCGCCCGATCGCCCCGGCTTGCCGAGTCGCGCGCCCCGCCGCCTGGGCCCCGAGCCCGCCGCGCCGCCCGCCCGCCCGCCGCCCTCGATCGTCCCGCCGCCCTCGGAGGACGGCCGGCCATGGACGCCTGCAAGTTGGAGGCGAGCGGGAGGGTGTGAGCGCGCCGGGGGCCGGGAGCTGCGCCGGGCAGCCGGGCGCGCCGGGGGTGGGTCCGTCTCCCCTGCCCGGCTCTGCGTGGAAGAAGAAGAGGGCGGGGACCGGCACCGGGAGGAGAGCGGAGGAGGAGAAGGGGCATGACTCGTGCAACTTGCGGCGGGCATCTGCCGAGCCTCTGAGTCGGCGGCGGCCCGGGGCCCGGATTGCGGCCGCGCCGATCCCACCCAGCCCACCCCGCCCCGGCCGACGGCTGAAGCTGACCTGGATCCTCGGAGCGCCCGCCGGCCGGCAGGGATCGCCTTCGTCTTCCGGGCTGCTTTCTGGAGCGCGAGGAGCGCTCTCCTCGCGGCTCCTCTCGCTGGACCCCCGGCCCCCGATGGCTCGGATGGGGCTTGCGGGCGCCGCTGGACGCTGGTGGGGACTCGCTCTCGGCTTGACCGCCTTCTTCCTCCCAGGTGAGCGCGTTCCGCCCCCTGCCTCCACCCCCCACCCCCCGCCCACCCCAACCCCCCCATCCAATGTCTCCCCGGGGCTGGGAGCTGGATGGCGGGCACGTCTGGGTTGTAGGGAGTGAAAGGAGCCAGAAAAGTTGGGTCACGGCTTAGGTAAGGGGGGTGCGGTGGTTCGGCGGAGAGAGAGGCTGAGGAGCCCAACAGCCTGCCCTGCAGGAAAGCAATCGGATGCACGTTTCTGTGTAGCAAGAAAGCACTTTCTCCGCGCAGTTTTTCACACAAAAAAATAATAATATATAATAGCGTTCTATTTATTTAATAACCAGCTCTCAGCTCGGGAAGCAGTTTGGAAACACTGCATGTTACATAAACGCAAAATAATCACCGTAATCACCGTCTCAGGGTAGGAGACAACAGCCCCAGGGGGAGGGCGTCAGTCTCGGATCTGGTGGGCTGTGGGCTTGGCGGATGGAAGGGGGGCTTCGGGTTTTTTTCCTCCAGCCCCTTTGCCAAGAGGTTTCGGGCGCTCGGGCCCCCTCCCGCACCACGTCGCCCCACCACCCGCGCGGGGAGCAGGCTCCTGCGACAGAGGCGGCTTCTCGCTCACCTGCGGTTCTTTTCCGGGAGGGTGAGGCCCGGCGGCGCGCTATCGGAACCTCCCCGCCTAGCGCGAAGCTAGGCTTTGCCTTGGAACTCCGGTCCCAGTTTGGGGGGCTCTCCCGCAGGAGGCGCCGCGGGCTTCGTGCCAGCCAAGTGGCTGCGTGACCCACTTTCCCGAGGATGCCCCGCGTGTCCTTCCTCGAGATGCTGGCGGCCGAGGGGTTAACCCGACGCCCGACCCCAGGGGTGGCCCCCGGTGGCCCCTCTGACGGATGGGGTAGGGGCGGAGGCTGGGACCGGTCCGGGCGTATTGTGCTGGGGAATGAACTGGAAAATGCGTTTAGGAGGCAAATCCGAGCGAGTCCCCGCGGCTGAATTTAACCCTTTGTGTCCCTGGGGAAGCTGCCCGGCTCCCACGGTGGCTGGGGACACCGCCGCGGGTGGGGCGGAGATTGGGGGAGTTCCTCCAGCCTTCATGGAAGAAACCTGAGACGACCTCCCGCCCTAGCTAGGTGGGGGGTTTGGGAAGGCGGGATACGGTGGGGGCTCGGTTGAAGCACGTGGCCCTGGCCTTAGGTGGTAAAAGAAGGGGTGAAAGTGCAGAGACCAGCTCTGCGTGGGGCAAGAATGTTGGGTCTGGGCTCCGCTCGCTGCTAGCGGAGGAGATGTGGAGGAGATATGTTCGATGCCGCAGACACAAACGGCAGTTTGTTGCCTAGACGTGGGGCTGGGGTGCGCTCCTGGAAGGCGGGAGCCTACCCCGTCTGCCGCCTGCTCCCGGCCAGGGCTCCACAAATGTCTTGGAGTGGCCCATGGCTCCTAAGTGGTTTGTGACAGGCGCACCAGGGTGCCCCCAGCCCTGCAGCCTCCGGTGGGGGTGTGGGGGTGCTGCCCTGCTAGGTCGGTGGGGGTAAATTCCAGGGCACACAGGGGTCACTGCCCATTTCAAAGGTGCATGATTGAGTCCCTCGAAACAAGGGTGGTTCCGGTAAGAATGAAAGGTCTTCACCTTACACTGGACCTCCTGGGAAGCCAACGGGAGATGCTGGAAGCTCCAGTCTGACCACCGGGGTTCTGGAACCCTTCAATTCCATATTGCCCACACTCAGAACCCAGCAAAAGACCAGCTTTCCTGGGGCCTGACTAGTCCAGCGTACTAGGGGTTAATCTAATCCTGGGTCAGACAAAGAGCGGGAAGGTTTGGGGAGGGGGAGTGAACTCACCCCCCTCCTTTTGTTACTCTCTCTCCCAGCTTTGTGGTGCTGTCCCTGGTAGTTAATTCCATCTTTGGAGGGGCTGGAGGCCTGCGCTGCTCCATCCCACTCGGGGAGTGGGGGCAGGGAGGTGATGCTCTCACCTGGTTCAAGTGTAGACACCTGCCCCCCCCCAACCAAAACTCCAGATTGAGGGAGTGGGGTGCAGATAAGGAATCACAGCTCAGATGGGCACTTAAGCACTCCTTGATTGATACTAATTGTCACGGCTGGGTAGCATCAGAGGGGCAGCCGGAGTTCCCTGACCAGCCAAGCTCTTCAACCTGGTGCCCGCACCCTTGGTGCCTCTGTGAACAGACAGGTGGATGAGGTGGTGCCCACATGACACTTGGTCACAGGCTGGAGCAAGTCGCCTTCCAAACCCCATCTACCGTCATCCTCAGGCAATCTCCTTCTCCCTGGGGACCTGCCAGCCTGATGCTCTTTTCTGGGTTCCCTGTGGCAGGGAGTATAGAGGGATGAGGACAGGAGCCTGATGAGGTGGGAGAGGGGACCCCCCCACCCCGGGTGAGTGTGGTGGCCTCCTGACTTCAAAACACTCCAAATCCGGCTTAGTGTGTAAACACAGAAGTGTGTTTTCAACAACACAGACTTTACCAGGCAGGGTGGTGAAGCCCCATCAGCCTCTGAGATGAGTCTGGGGTTTCTGCCTGATCACTCAGAGGAGAGAGCCAGTGGGACCCGGGGGCTGCATCCCAGAGGAACAGGGGAAGCCCAGGAAAGGAAGCAGAGAAACTGCCTTAGAAGCAGGTGCGCTGAGCTAGTGTCCCAACTACACCACACCCTCCCTAATTGGCTTCCCCAAACCTTTTGTCTGGGAAGAGAACACACACCCCAGGTGTCGTGCACACCCTCGGAAGACCTGTCGGGCCACAGCAGCACCCTCTTTGCAGCCTATGCAGAACTCACTGTCATGATGGTTTCCTTTGAAACCCAGGGAGTCAGGACTGTTGAGTTATCTTCCTGTCTCCCCATCACTCACAGACAGTGGTGTGTCCAGACTTGCTGGGCAGGACATTATGGCAAAACCGATTCCGCTGGCCTGAGGTTTGCAAGCGAATATAAGCAAGAATCCCAGTGCCCTTGTCAGAGGAGTGTCTCCGAATCAGATTCAAGGCCAAATAGTCAAGGCTGGAAGGGAGGAGGAGATATTACAGTGCCTGGGCCCAGCACCTGGGGCTGAGTGGTCTAGAAGGTGTCTCTGAGCCTGACTCTCTGTGTTTATGGGACAGGCAACCCCTGGTCGCCTGATGCTGGCTGAGGCTATGATGTCCATTCCCTTCTCAGCTGCTCAATTTTGCACAATGAATCCACCTCATTGGCCTGATCCAGGACCCAGTTGTACGCTGCCAGGATGGTCTCAGGCCAGAACCCTAGTGCTGACAACTGAGCAAGTGGGCCGGGCTGGGGAGGGTGGGGGACCAGGGGGCAGCCCCAGTTGCTGTGCCTTGATAACTGCCATTGTTTAGCAGCTGACTAATGTTCATTGTTCAGCACAAACAGAAAATACCCAAGGGAGGTATAAATTTACCTTCAATTTTCCTGATTGTATCTTTCCTGGTTAACCTGGTAAATCGAATGTCTTCTACCTGCTGTGGGGGCAGAAAGTGTGTTTATACATATTTACCTGTTTTGCTGATTTTTTTTTTTTTTCCTAACATTGAATGTCAGCCTGTGGGCCAGGCTAGAAGGGGTAATAGCCAGCTATGGGACTTAGGCTATAACATTTCTGATAATTTGCTTACAGCCTCACCATCAGTGTAGAGTGGGTGCACACACATGTGTGCAAGACTGTGTGCTTGTGTTGGCCATCCACAATTCGCTGTGCACATACAGACCCACCGGGAGTAGGACAAGGAAGTATGTGCACTGGGATTGTGGGTCACCGTGGGACAGGGGCATAAGTATACATCAAATGCGTAATCACATGCAATTGATTTCTTATGGCTTTCCGACTGGGATTTTGTGAGAAGCCTATGTTTAGATCAGAGTGTCAGTGAGGGTAACTTTGGAGGAGACCCAGGATTTGCCCTTAGCCAGCTCCTTCTAAGACTGAGGGGCCACATCCTTTGGGGGTAGGAAGCCTGGACACCCCTTTCTTTTTCTGCTCTGTCCTTGACCTCAGGCTGGGCCTCTGCATCCTCACAGGGAGATGCTCACCTGGAGAGATTTTCCTCTGCTTCTCAGGACTCCTGAGCAGCCGGGAGGGGCCATGGGAAATAGGTTTTCAGCTACTACTTTGGCATCTGTGCTTCCTGCATGAATACTTGAGGAAAAGGGTCATCTAGGGAAAGGTGATGTACTCTGGACATTTAAAAGGAGCTCTGAGTCATAGGCTGTGACAAACCCTATCGAGCCATATGTGTGCCCAGTTCAGCAGCACACATGTGCCTGGACCACCCCAGTTCACAGAGCAGAAAACAGTAGCCCCCTTGTTGGAAAGGCAAGTGGGAATGAAGGGCAAGCAGTGGCGAAGAGGGCAGTCCTGGGAGCCCAGGTCCCGATGCCCAAGTCAGGCTGGCAAGTGTTTCTGCCCCGTGGTGTCCGCCCCTCTCCATAGAGACCTCGTCTGTGAGCCAGCAGCAGATGTGCTGGCTGGGGCTAGAGGTAACTTAAGATCTGAGCAGGGATCACCTTGCACAGGGAAAGCCCTGAGCTGGAGATAACACTCCTTAGCCCAGTTAACCCTTTAAGCTCTGTATTCTCCTGTGCTGTTTGGAACTGGGAAATAGGGAGAGGGGAAAGAGGAGAAAACACGTCGGACCTAATATCTGAACCCTGACAAGGAGAGATTAACTCAATGCCACAGGAGAAACCTAAGGACACAAAGAAAGCCTTCCTGATCATAGACTGTATGTAGGCTGTTCAGAGCAAGGGGTAATCCCAAGGGTTATCCTGAAGTGGGGGAGGGGCAGTAGGTATGTATTCTCAGAGGCTCATGAGATCTGTGCCTTTCACCGTCTTCTAGGGGCAAAGCAGCTATGGTGCCAGGGCCCAGTCCAGAGGGAGCAGCAGAGAGCTCAGTTCCTCTCCCCTCAACCTGGAGATCACCCCATTTTGACTGCCCAGCAGAGTGAGACAACAAAGCAAGGCCAGCTGGACTGTATTTGAATCCCAGCTCTACCAATT